ATCATGGAGTGGAATCTTTCTCTTGTGGGCCAATTCCTTGGTCCTACCCCGAGCTTCTCCTCAATGCAAAGAATCGTGGACAGCCTGTGGAGGAAAGCGACGGCAGGTGCGAGAGTTCAGGTGAGTATTGCTGGAAACAATCTTTATGTTTTCTCGTTCTCTACTGCTAGCGCTCGCGACTGGGTCCTGGAAAATGGACCCTGGCACGTCTTAAATAAACCCCTAATCTTAAGAAAATGGGAACCTAGCCTCTAAAAATTGAGTTTTGATCTTTCAAGCTTACCTATGTGGGTTCATCTCTACAATGTTCCCCTTGAGCTATTCTCTAGATTAGGACTCAGTTACATAGGTAGTGCTATCGGAATTCCTCTTTCTATGGATACAGTTACTGCTTCTAAAACACGCCTAGAATATGCCAAACTCTGTATAGAAATAGGACAAAAGATATCATCCCTGAATAAGTTGAAATAGAGCTAAAGGATGGAGTAAAGGTTTCAATAATGGTTGAAGTTCCATGGATGTCAGCTCGGTGCAATTTCTGCAAAATTTTTGGTCATAATGATGAGGGTTGTACGCAGTCGAAAACTCATAGTGCTACTAAAACTCAATATTGGAGGAAAAAGGAGAAATCCTCGTGTGTTGACACTGACCCTAGAGTTAGGGGTATTGAAATGCTTCAAGAGAATCCACCTCTCTCATCAGATAAATCCAACTATTGAGGAACATGCTAAAGGAAGAAACGAACAGTACGATAACCAACAGGATCACTCTGTCTCAGCTGTTAATGGTTCTCAAGCCACTGTTAACGATCAAACTAAGGAAAATACAGAGCAGATTAAGATTCTCCAAGACAACATAAACTCTAATGTGGAAACATCCAAGAAAATATGTAAAGCTTCCTCTATCATACCAACAAAAGGGTGAGGTAGGCCTCCCAAAGAAAAACTAAAAACTGATATTTCAGCCTCTACAAACAGATTCCAGATACTCAATAATTCTGAGGATTTTCCTGCTGCATCTTTGGAAATCCAAAAGAAACCTTGAGCATCTTCGAAAGGAGTTGTTGCATTAGTTAAGGAGCTCAAGTCGAAAAAGAAAGAAAAAAAAGAAAAGTCAAAATGTACTGAAGGTAGTGGAGGTGGTGACAAACCAATAACTCCATCACAATAATTCTAGCCTTATAGAATGTTAGAGGATTCAACTGTCCTCATAAGCAAGAAAGAATAATTAGAAGAGCTACCAAAACAAAATAGATGTGTTCTGTTTATTGGAGACAAGAGTGAAAGAAGATAAGTCTGTTATTATCTTAGGGAAGAAGTTTTCTGACTGGAATGCAGTAACTAATTATGACCAAGCAGTAAATGGTAGGATATGGATCATTTGGAGAAAAGACCTATATTTCTCGTTAATTAATTCTTCTGATCAGAGTATCACTGTTCGAGGGAAATTTCAGAATACCCAAATAATCATCACAACAGCTTATGGAAGCAACGACGGTATTACTAGAAGACTCCTCTGGGAACAATTAAGAAATCTTCAAACTACTATTGGCCTCTCCCCATGGCTCATTGGTGGAGATTTCAACATTATTTTGCACTCAAGTGAAAGCTCCAACTACGATTTAATTGGCTCTCTTTCTACCTCTGATATGAGGGACTTCCGAGAAGTCCTCTCTGACCTTGACCTTTTTGACCACCCTTACTTTGGCCCTATTTTCACTTGGAATAACAAGCAGCAGAATTCATTCCTTGCAAGAAAGCTTGATAGAGTTCTTGTCAACCCTAAATAGGTGACCTATTTCAAAGATTCACATGTAGAATTTCAAGCCCCTGGAATCTCTGACCATTGCCTTACTCAAGTCTAGCTCACTAAAGCAGCTCAAGTTGATCGGCCAAAATCGTTTAAATTCTTAATTACTGGAATCAACATCCCAATTTCATGGAAGTTGTGCATCAGTCTTGGTCAAAATCTGCCCATGGAAATCCAATGCAGATTATATTTTCTAAACTTAAAAGACTTAAATCCAGTCTCAAAACCCTCAATCACACTTTCTACAGTGATCTTCCTACAAGGGTTAAGAGAAAGAGAACAGAGTTAGAGTAGCAACAACTCAAAACATTAAAGGGAGAGGATGTCATAGACAATGAGTTGTACCTTCAAAATGAGTTGAAAAATTTGGAGGAAGCTGAAGCTTTGTTCTTCAGACAAAAACAAAAGTCCAATAGTTGAAGGAGGGTGACAAATATACAAGACTCTTTTATTCTACAGTTGCTCTTAAAAACAAAAAAGATACAATTTGTGCCCTCATTGATGAGAATGGTAACAGGCTAGAATCTTTCGATCAAATGTCAGCTGAGGTGATAAAATTCTTTTCCAACTTGATTGACACTGCTGATCTTGCTATAAAAAAATCACCCAAATTTGCTGCAGGATTTAATTCAGTTCTCCTTTCCTGTTGACAAGGCGGCTGAACTTGAGAATGATGTAATAAAAAAGGAAATCAAAGCTGGTTTTTTTAGTCAAGGTAACGAAAAAGCTCCGGGGCCAGATGGATATTCTCTTTCTTTTTCAAACACACATGGTCCATTATTGAGAGATATATTGTTGTTGCCATTTCCTACTTCTTCAAAGAATAATCATATCTTCTTCAGCTTTCAACTCTACTATCACTGCATTGGTCCCCAAAATCCCTAACCCAAGTAAGGTAAAGGACTTTAGGCCAATCTCATGTTGTTCAGTGGTGTACAAAGCTAGGGGTGTAAAAAGCTGACCCGACCTGTAAAATTGACTGAAACCGACTCGAGTTAAAACTGTTTTTGACTTGCGCTGTGACGATCCGAAACCGACTTGAGTCGAAACTGGTGTTGACCTGAACCCGAGTTAGACCTGGAAATTGTGGATCTGAACCCGACCTGAGAACGACCTGAACTGAATTGAACCGAAAATATGATACCCGAACCCGAACTGCATCCGACTGATATGAACCCGAACCCGATATTGACCTGGTAAATAACTGGTATTACCGATCTATTTTCAACCTGACCTGTTATGAACCTGACCTGTAATTAACTCAACCTGTAAATGATCTGACATGTTGTTAAGTGATATAATATTATCCTGACTTATAAGTGAAGTTACAATTAATATAATTATATTATTTTAAATTTATAATAAACTAATGATAATTAAATTATTATAATAATTAAATTATTTTTGAAATTTAATAAATTATTATGATAATTAAATTAATATGATTACATTTAAAATTTAGTTTTATATTAATTATAATTTGTATATTATAAATTTGATTTTTATGTAAATTCCAATTCATAAATTTCTTTATATTTATTATATTATAAATTTTATTTTATAATCAATAAATTAAATTTAAATATTATCTTATTGAATTTTATTTTATTAAATTATATTACCTGAGTTAAAATATTCATAAATCTAATTTACTTTTAATGTGAAAATTGATAAATAATTTAAGTAAACTTAACTTGAAATTTTAAAATCAAAATATATTAATCGAAATGATGAACTTATTAAAGATTAAAAACTTGAATAACATTATAAATACTAAAAAAATATTTATAAATGAAGGTAATTTTATTACACTTGAAAACACTAAAATTACAATAAAATCAACTAAACAAAATAAATTTATGTTGAAATAAATACTCTCAGATCTTATAGCTAATGTTTACAAGGCTAAAAAGCCTAACTATACTACCAAAAATATCATCATCGAGCTTTTATACCTAAATGTTACGAACATGTTTAATTATGGACAATTTTCTAGCTTTAAAAGCCAAAATGTCACCAACATAATTCAACATGAGTAACTATTTAGATAAGAATTTATAAGGTTCTAAAATTGATTTAAGTCATACCAACAACAATAATTTACAAGACATCAGTGAGTAATAAACAGCAACAACATCAAGCATCAATGTACCAATTCAGCAAGCATCGTTGCATCGATTCGACAAGCATCCTGCATTAAGAAAACATACAATCAATAGTAAAGCCAAAGGGAATTCGATGGCCAACAGTGCCAAACATTTCCGACTTTACCAAACCCTTACTATAGCAACATATAAATGATTACGGCCTGGTGTAGCAACAAGACCAGAAAAGTTACTTTCAACATATAAATGATTAAATAATTTGCATATTTCAACATAAGAGGATATCAAATTAATTGCTTGAACAACTTCTCATATACGTGAAGGGTACCTTCCATCCTGGAAATAGTCACCAGCTCTACCACTGCTATCCCTGCAGAGAAGATGTTCATGTAATCACATTGTTCATGACAAGCATACCATGAAGGTAAGAGTAACATACTTAAAATTCAATAAGGAGGATCATAAAACTACTAACATGTTAACGCAATAAGTATTGTTACTTATTATATTCCTAAACCGTACAACCAAGTGATATGCATTTTAAGGAAAGAAAGGAACAGAGAGGCACCTGATGGAGTTGACAATTGAGACCAGCCAAGTGTTTCAGCCTTTTGTATGTGAAGCTTTGATCTTGTTTCAAGCTTTTGCAGTTAAGTGTTGAGGATTCACCTACAATATTTTCATCGGTGCTGAATACGAGCTCAGCTTGGCAGGAAACAGTCATCGGAATGAAGAAAGGTAGAGCTTCCAATTAGAGCTGCACAGGGGATATTGTTTTCACGATTTCCCCCCTTAATTTTTAGGTTTTCAAAGATGTTATACACCATGTTTTCAACTTTACCATCAACAAGACTCTCACTTTGTGCAGAGGTACCAGAAGAAAATCTTCTCAAAAAGATCACTTGTGAAAGATGAAACATAGTATATAACATTTAAGTGTTTCCTTAATGTTTAAAGTCCACTAACTAAACTGAAAATAGAACTAAATACTCATTTGCAAGTGGAAATCTTTACACTATCTATGAAGCATTTCAAATCAAAATTGATTTATTAGATCGTAAGATGAGATCCAAAAATAAGGTGGAAGTGATGGATCCAAGAGGTGTTCTGACTCCATCATCACCAAAGCTAATGGACTTCACAGTGATGGATTCTAAGCCATTCTCCACATCACTGCATTTAGCAAATGGGCAGGAAAAGGAAACACCCATCCGACGACAAGACTCACTGATTTCTCTGCAACAAAAACTCAACTCGGTTAGGCGCTTTATATGGTAAAATATATTAAATTTATTGATGTTACAAGATACAGCAAACCAAAAACAAAAACTAGAACACAGGTTGAACAAAACGCATCAAACAAAACCACCATATTAGAGTCAAATGCATATTTCATTCGTTAAAAAGCAAATAAAGAAACCCTTTTATGAGCATTCTAGAACATGGATTATGGATCTATCAAAAGCATCAAATAAACAACCAATTAACAACCCATTTCATCAAAGCAAAAACCAAAACATAAATAAATGGATAACTATAACAGTAGAGAATATACCTCAGATATGAAGATTAAATAAATGGGCTACAGTAACAGGTAAGAAGAGGATTGTTGATGATTTTCTCAGCTGGTTGTTGGATTTTGATTTCAGTTCTTCCCTTTCACTTTTCCCCAGTTCTTTCTCAGAATAAACAAGTCTCGCTCCAAAAATCAATCTACAGATACTAAATTCGACCTCGGATTATATATATATATATATATATATGTATATATATGACAACTATTCCATTTAGTAACAGCTCTGAACTGTAAATCGCTGCCTCTGAAAGCATAACGTAACGGCAAAACACTCAAATAAAAACATTCGAACTGAAATCCAGCTAATTTACAGAACCCTTATTACCTTTTTCGAGGAAAGGAATACAAAATTCACAATCTTCTTCACATGATAGAACCAACAAATCATCTGGGAATCTGTCATTCTTCATAGCAGATCTGCCATTTCTCTCAACTGCCTGGAATTGCTGATCAAAATAACATAAAAAAAAAGGAAATAAACTTCCGTGATCAAACATCCGAAGATATGTATTTTCGAGAGAATTTTCAAGGGAACCGCCCACATACCTGACCATGAACTGCAGTCGCCAAACGCGAGATCGTTGCTTTACCTGGTTTTGTATTTGGGGTGATTCAAACTCTTCGACCCTCTGAAGAAACCCCTGAATCATCAGATTATAACAGCAACTACCAGGCAAACAATCATTATCTCTCATGCTCCTAAACAATCATTATCTCTAGATTTAAAAATAATAACAACCCAAAAAATTACACTTCAAATATATAAAATAATCAAGCTTTTGAAGAGTAGAAGAGAGAGTAACCGTTGTTAAAATTAGCAGGAGAAGAATCAGAAGCCATGGCAAAGAGAAGAAGAGCGGCAAAACACGAGGGGGAATTTTTCTGAGACTCAAGTAATGAAAGAACGGAACTGCCTGCTGGTTGGAGAAAAGAGACATTATTTGACGAGAAATGATGCTGATTTTGGCGCGTAGCCTTGTGGCTTAAGCGAGGGAAAAAACCCGCGGCTTTTTTAACTTTATTTGATATTGTAGTGTTGTCTCTTAGTTTTAAATTTATTCAATTTAGTTCAAATTTAATGATTTAATATATTAATTTAATCTTCATATTTCAACCTTTTTTCAATTTAATCCAAATTAATGTTACAATTTATTAATTTAAGCTTCATATTTAAAATTTTTCAATTTGATCATTATATATTTTTCAATTCTTTCAATTAATATATATGTTTATATTAATAAATTAATATATAGTTTATATATATATAAATTTATATACTAATGAACTATATAATATAGTTTGTATATATCATATACTATATAGGTTATATATACTAATGAACTATATAATATATAGTTTATATATACTAATGAACTATATATATATAGTTTATATATACTAGTGAACTATATATAATGCATAGTTTATATATACCATATAGTCTATATATATCATATAGTTTATATACTGATAAACTATATAATGTATAGTTTAGGGTTTAGGGTTTAGGATTTTTATATAGTTCATATGTAAATTATACTATATATATATAGTTTATATATATAATATATAGTATATAACTATAAACTATAGTATGTAGTATATAAATATAAACTATAGTTTTTATATATAGTATATAAATAGTGTATATAGTTCACTAATAAACTATATATATAGTTCATATGTAAACTATATAGTTTATATATATAGTTCATATGTAAATTATAGTTCATATGTAAATATCAACTATAGTTTATATGTAAACTATAGTTCATATATAAATATCAACCTTAGTGTATATATATATTTATATATATAGTTCATATGTAAACTATAGTTCATATATAAATATCAACCTTAGTATATATATATTTATATATATAGTTCATATGTAAACTATAGTTCATATATATAGTATATAAATATAAACTATAGTTTATATAAATAGTATAAAATATAATATATAAGTATAAATTATAGTATGTAGTTTATATAAATATAAATATAAACCCTAAACCCTAAATCATATATACTATATATATATAAACTATATAATTTATACAATATATATTATATATAATTATACATAATATATAAATATAAATTGTATAGTTTATATATAATTCATATATAATTTATATATAAACTATGTAGTTTCTATATAGTTCAATAGTTCATATATAAACTATATAGTATTATAGTTTAAACATGGTATATATAGTTTATACTTTATACATAATATGTATAAACTATATAGTTTATATATATAATACATATACTTTATATATAAACTATATAGTTTATATATATATATATATATATATATCTATATTAGTTGTTTTACTTTTTTTCTCAACTTATTACTTATTTCTATTTATTAATTGGCCCATAACTTTTTAAATGAGTATAATTTAGTATATTTTTGTATTAATTTCAACCTCACAATTTAAATCATTTCGATTTGATCCCTCATCAATGTGTGTTGTTTAATTTATTTAAATTTTTATTTGTAATTTCATATTTGTTCAATTTAGTACTCCAAATTTTATTTGCATATGAAATTATCCATACTTATTACTTAATTATATTTTTTAATTGGCCCATAACTTTTTAAAGGGATATAATTTAGTACTTTTTTGTATTAATTTCAACCTCACAATTTAAAATTATTTCAATTTGATCCCTCATCAATGTGTGTTGTTTAATTTATTTAAATTTTTATTTGTAATTTCATATTTGTTCAATTTAATTCTTAAATTTGTATTTTTCATAAAATTGAACCATGATTATTTATATTCTTAGTAATTTACTCTAAATCATATACAATTACAAATTGTAATTCAACGTTCGCGAAAAACGAAAATAATTAATTTAAAAATAAAAATTAACCCGATTTGAACTCAATCCGTATCTGATAGAGATCCGACCTGAATTTTATCTGCCAATGATGTGACCCGATCTGAACGAGATCCGCCTGAAGTCTATCCGAACCTGAATTAACCTGCTTTTTAACTGCTTCAGACCTGAACTGTTTTGACCTGAACTGAAAACGATCCGAACTGAAAATGACTTGACCTGAACCCGATCTGGATCTGGTGTCAAATCAACCTGAAAATAACCTGAACTGATTTGACCTGACCTGAACCCGATCTGGATCTGGTGTCAAATTTACCTGACTTGACCTGTATCCGATTTTACCCGACCTGCCAGGATCCGACTGAAACCTGAACGATTACCTGATTTTACAACCCTATACAAAGCTATCTCTAAGATCATTTTCAGTAGACTTAACTATATTATGCCTGATTTGATTTCTCTTAACCAAACCGCTTTTATCAAAGGTAGGAGTATCATTGAAAACACTCTTCTTGCTCAAGAACTTGTAAGAGGCTACAACAGAAAAAACTTATCCCCTAGATGTTCTTTGAAAGTATACCTCCACAAAGCTTTTGATTCGCTTAATTGGAATTTCATTTCTTCAATCTTGAAGGCTATCAGTCTTCCTAGGATTTTCATCAATTGGATTTCCACTTACTTCTCAACAACAACTTTTTCTATCTCCTTTAATGGTACCTTGACTGGTTACTTTAAATGAGCCAAGGGCCTGAGACAAGGAGACCCTCTCTCTCCTTTACTTTTCGTTCTTGCAATGAACATCCTTTCACGACTTCTTAACTTGGTTGCTTTAAGAGGAGTGTTCAGGTATCATCCAAAATGCAAAAGGATATGTCTGACTCATTTAACCTTTGCAGATTATCTCCTCATCTTTTGTAAAGGGAATGTTGTCCTTGATTACTTCTATGACATCTCGGCCTCAAACTAAATGCATCCAAAAGTGAATTCTTTTCTGCTGGAATGTCTACTGGTGTGCTTGAAATATAAAACACAACATTGGATTCAAACTAGGAACTCTGCCTGTGAGATACTTAGGTATTCCACTCCTCACTAAGAAAATCTCTGAAAAGGACTGTGTGGTCCTAATTGATAACATTAAATCAAGACTGCACCACTGGTCCACTAAGAACCTTAGCTATGCTGGAAGACTCGAGATAATTAAGAATGTGTTGTCTAGTATTTCAAATTTCTGGTACAGACAAATATTTCTGCCAAGTTCGATCTTAAAGCGTATAGAGCAACTTTGCTCTCGATTTTTCTGGAAAGGGTCTGACACTGCTGCTACTGGAGCAAGAGTGAGCTGGAAAAATATATGCTTCGAAATTCGAATGAGGGCTCGGGATTAAGGATTTGAAATCATGGAACAAAGCATGAATGATCTCTCTTATTAAACACATTCTAGCTGAGGATGGATCCCTTTGGGTAGTCTGGCTATACCATTACGTCTTCAAGGATAAGAACTTCTGGTCTGTCGGCATAAATTCCACAGCAAGTTGGAGCCTTAAGAAACTCCTTAAACTCAGACCTTAGGCTCAACAAATTCTTACCCCTGCTGCAAACAAAGCTGGTAAAATATGGGATTCTCTTCGGGAAAAGAAGGCAAAGGTATACTGGCAGAAACTTCTATGGTTCCCACTGCACATTCCTAAACACATCCTGATAACATGGATGGCTTTCCTTGATAAGCTCCCAACGAATGTCCGTCTTCAACACATAGGGCTCATCAATGAAAGCCACTGTATTTTCTGCAATTATGATCTGGAAACTAGTGAGCATCTTTTCCTAAAATGCCCTACTGCTGTCTTTATCTGGAAAGTAGTGTTCTCATTCTCTGGTTTAGTTTTTCCTGATTGTTCTTGGGATGTTTTCACGGTTTGGGCAAGCTCTACTTGGAAAGGAAAGTCGTTGCTCACATTGATCATGAAGATTGCATTCAACGCCACCGTTTACATGATCTGGGAAGAGAGGAACAAAAGGGTGTTTCAACAAAGAGCCCGGTCTGCTGAAGATATTATCCAAGCCATTAAAAACACTGTCAGTCTGATTCTAAGGGGTAAAAATATCAATAGAATTGATCTGTTAATATTACTTTATGAAATCAATGGGGTATTGAAGAACATTGATTCTTTTGTAAGTATTTTGTAGTTGATTTGGAACTCTGTTTGTAATTTTAAAGCAATCTTTGTTCTTTGGATATAAAATCTGATTTATCCAAAAAAAATTAATAAATTAACATGAGTTCAAATCTATATAAATAATAAGTATTTTCTTATAAACAATTTTTATATATTAAATATATGATTCTAATTTGAATCCATACAGATATAGTTTTTTATTATAATATTAAAATTAAAGTATTAAATATAATTTTAAAAAATCAACATTTAATTCTATTAAATTAACAAATAGTTAATGCGTCACGCCAATTATTAAAATGGGTATTAATTGAATTTGTATGGAATGATAAAAGAACGAAAAGATGATTAATGTATATAGTGAAGGGGAGCCCACAGGCATGAGTGGTCACTGGGGCTATCGCTATCAAATTCATGTGCTTGTGGTGCGCAATAGTGACGCACCTAATAGCTTAAATTCGGACAGTTTGTTTCCCCCACCTACACCAAATTTAAACTTCTTCAATCTGCCCTTATAAACCCAAGGCCTATTTTCCCTCAGCCATGGAAGATCTAATAATCTCTCCATCTTCATCTTCTTCACTGGTTTCATTTTCCCAGGAAACTGCACCTTCAACTCTCCAGCAGCGGCTTCATTTATGATCCAGAGCCAGCAAGATTTGTGGGCGTACGCTATATTTTGGCAGACATTAAACGATGATCTAGGTCGTTTGTTCTTGGCTTGGGGAGATAGTTATCTTCAATGCACCAAAGATATGTCTCCGAAGCTGAGTTCCAACGTCCATGGCTCGCAAAATGATCGGAGAAAGGTGATGAAAGGAACCCAAGCGCTCATCGGGGACAATCACGATATCGAT